ACCGTGCGAGAGAGAGTTAATTGATATGAAAACAACTCCGGGGGCTTGCTGGCTTTGAAAAACATATAGCATTACACTTAATACCGGCAATTACAGCTCGGGGGATTCAATCACTCAAAATCCTTATTTGTCTTTTTGCAAGGCCAAGACGTGAGACCGCAGCGACACTCATCCTGGACGGCTCCTGGAGCAGCCAATGGCTCCAGGCAAGCAGGAAACAGAGAGGCGCTGGTGGAGCATCCATGGCTGCATCGGGAGCATCCCACTGCCACAGCGAACCCACATCCCGCCTTCTCTCGGCTCCTCTCCACCCTGAGCAGTCACAGAAAGGGGAGCTGCACCCCTGGTTCAGGCACATTCACCTCACCTATCCCTCCTCCCTCACAGCCCGCCCTGTATGATTTCCTCACCTTTGCTGGACACAACAGACCACCCTCCCACTGCCCGGGATCACTCAGCACGGGCAGAGCCCAAGGGCAAGGCGGCCCTGTCCGGCCCTAGCTGCACGGCAGCAAATTGCTCTGCCTGCTGGAGCTGCCTCCTGTAATGAAGTTAGAAGGACATCATCATCCTGCCAGGCTCCCTCCAACCCCAGAGATCAATAACTAATGCTGAACTCCAGATTTTATCTGCACTTCGCAAGGGTAACAAAATAACACCACCCTCTTTTTTTTTTCCCTTTCCAATTACTGTATCTTTTCAAGATTGACCCAGCGATTTTCAGCTCTATGAAATTTTAGGCAGTGAAGAAAGTGATGAAAGTGATCTTCCCGAGCGTCTGGAGGACTTCTGCGGGTGGTTTTGCTCCCTGTACAGTACAAGGTAGAAAAATAGAGGATTACCAATACTTTCTTTTTAAAAAGAAACAGCATCTTAACTAAGCCAACGCAGAGACATCTGCCTTTGAAGTGCTGGTTCACTGCACGCCCTCCACCACAACTTGGTGGTCAAGCCAGAAGAACCCTTGCAAGAAGACGTGGCACCCTAATGAAACCAGGGGTTGTTTTACCTACACACTCCAAAAAATTAACCACTCCTCCAATCAAATACTTGCAGATTTTGCAGCCTGCCATTAATGCGGCTAGACAGATAGCCATGAAATGCAATAGCTCTGAGTCTTATTTTGCTTAGAGAAAAAGCTCCGAGTCTCACCTTCCTTGCAAAAAATCCAGGAATAGTTGGACATTCAAAAAGGAAAAGGCACCAGCAGAGGCAACAAAGCGGTTAGCCTGATGACATTTAAAATGTTGTAAATGTTATGTGCTCCATTAGCAAGGCTTTAAGTTTTATTTTAGGTGGGGTTTTCAAGCCTTCCCAAGGTATTAATGAACCGTTCAACGATGAGCAGCTTTGAACATCCCTCTCACTGAGGCGGGTTAATCTGCGCTGTCGGTGTCCGTGTGTGCCGTGTGTGCAGGTACACACGACCAGAACACGCACACCCGGCAACAGGCGTGTCACACTCGTGTCACAAATATTCTCCATTTGCCCGCAAGGAAATTCATCTCACCTTCGAGCAGTAGGGAGTGAATTTTAATGCTTGTCCTTTCCCTCGCCTGCGCTGATTATTCTAGGCATAGACTAACTACAGTAAACCACAACGGGTATTTTATCT